ATGATCAATAGTTAATATAATATAATAAAATACATAAAATAAATAACATAACGATATAAAATGTAAGTATTAAAATAATTAATTATAAAGGTATAAAGTGTAATTTCTCTTTACTCAGAAACAATTTATGAGTAAAGTTTAGATGAAGTGTAGATTTTGTGTATTTAGGAAAATGAGTTCATTAAATGAAAAATGTTATAAAAATATTATATTGAGCAATTTTGAATTAAAATTATATATACGGTAGTTATAAATCATTTGTAATGTTTTATTTTAATATTAATATTCTGGTTATATCTAATAACCTTTTTGTAATGATTTATTTTGTTACAATATCTTGTGTTTTGGTTACTTTATTTGATTTCGATGTAAAAAAAATTGATCATTTTGTCTTTTCCTTGTTTAAATTAATTTAAGAAAAATGTATAATATTACCATTTGGATATTTTAATTAGCCAATTGATCCCCAATCTCCTGAAAATCCCTATTAACTAGTCAAGTGATCCCTAATCTTCCGAAAATCCGCGTGTATATATATATATATATATATATGGACTAATCAAAAGAGAACTGAATAGTTTATGGTAACTGTAAGGTCCAATTTCAACCACAAATCAACGGATAAATTAAGAAATTAATAATTATGGTAGTTTGAGTTAAAATTATAATTAGAGGGCATATTAGGTATTTTTTTAAACCTCCTCTCTCCTCTCTCATCTCTCCGACTTCCAATGTCCGGCCTCCGGTGAAATCGGTATCACAGTGTATTACAATGAGTATCACATTGTGTATCTTTGTTTTTAAGGTTTGAATTGGTATCATAGTTGGTATCACAATGGTATCACAGTATATCACAATAAGTATCACATTGTCTATATTTGTGATTACTTGGTACCTGCCGGATTAATGTTCATCGGAGGCCGAAGATTGGAAGTCGGAGAGATGAGAGAGGAGAGAGGAGAAAGGAGAGAGAAGAGAGGAATTTTCTAAAAGTACCTAAAATGCCCTCTAATTATAATTTTAACCCAAACTACCATAATTATTAATTTTCTAATTTGTCTGTTGATTTGTGGTTGAGATTGGATCTCACAGTTAACACAAACTAATCAGTTTTTCCTTGAATGGGCCCATATATATATATATATATATATATAGAGAGAGAGAGAGAGAGAGAGAGAGAGAGAAAGAGGGGGAGTTTGTTTCAAATGCAACTCATTACATTTGTACAACCAATGCAACTCAATAAATTGAAATATTTATGAAAATAATAAGAGTTCATTTATTATGATTTAAAAATTTATGGAAGATAAATAAGGTTCATAAATTATGATCAATACTTTATATTACGAAACAATCAGAACTTCTATGAAATTACATATTCATCAAATTAAATGGACGGTTGACATTGAGTTGTATTAGTTGTACAAATATAAGGGGTTGTATAATAACTCACCCCTCTCTCTCTCTCTCTATATATATATATGTATATATATATCAAATGCAACCATGTCCACTTGTACAATCAATGCAACCCAATTAATTGAGATATTTATAGAAATGATGAAAGTTCATTTATTATAATTTGAATATTTATGAAAGATGACTAGAATTCATTAATTATGATCAATACTTTATATTAGAAAACAATTAAAACTTTTATGAAATCACATATTCATCAACTTAAATAGACGGTTGAGATTGAGTTGTATTAGTTGTACAAATGTAAAAAG